TCCTCCTCCTCCTCTCTGCAAACTCTACTTCCTTCTAGCATTGATGACATTATCTAGTTGGGTGATGAAACGTCTGCAAGAAAAGAGGCAAAATCACAGAAGACTAAGGACCAGAATGGATGTATCTAATGGATAATGGCATCTTTGACCAAATTGTTTTGCATATGGAGCCATAGATAATGGACATCTTACATTTCAGCCTCCTCCTCCTCACAAACCCTACTTCCTTCTAGTACTGATGACGTTACCTAGTTGAGTAACGAAACATCTGCAAGAAAACAGCCAAGCTCAGAGAGCACCAAGGACCCACTGTTCTCCTCCTCCTCCTCTTCTTCCTCCTCCTCCTTCTCTCCTTTCTGCAACCCCCACTTCTTTTTGCCACTGATGAGGTTACCTAGTTGGGTAATGAAACATCTGCACGAAAATAGCCAAGCTCAGAGAGAACCAAGGATGCCACTTCTCTTCTTCCTCCTCCTCTCTTCCTCCTCCACTCCACCAACTCTACTCCCTTCTAGCACTGATGGTGTTACCTTGTTGGGTAATGAAACACCTGCAAGAAAACAGCCAAGCTTGGAGAGCACCAAGGACCCCCACTGTTCAACCCTGAGCCCCAAATATTCTCTTGCTACCAGAGAGATTCTCTCTCGGTACCAACTTCAAATCCATCCCCAGCCATGGAAGCTCAGAACGCTCACCTTGGGCCATTTCTCTCTCCCGGCATCACACCTTAAGTGGTGAGGAGAAGAAAATGGCAGCCTGCTACACATGACCCACTGAATTCCAGGAGGGGGGGGGAAGCAGGATGGAAACCGATCAAAAATAAATATTCATCTGGGGTTCCATGGCAGCTCTGATCTTCCAGCAGGCGCTGAGATTTGGTCTCCCATTCTCCACCAGCGATGCTTGTTTTCGTTGCCTGAGTTTTTCTCTCCACTGAGCTGTCTAATTAGGAGGATTTAAAGTAGGGCTGACTCACCATCTTTATGGAAGCCAGCCAGCCAGCTAGCCTGGCACCTTCCCTAAAACCCACAACAATGCAGCCATAAAGTCTAATTGCCATCCAGTACTGGGGTTGGGGTGTGTGTGGAGGAACGGAGTCAAGAATCTGGAGAAACTTCTGCCTCCGACTTCGAATGCAAAGAGCTGATCTCCAAAATGTTTCCCCAAGATGACAAGCACGCCGCTGGCCTCCTGACCCCTTGAATGACTGTGACTTTTCCCATGTCAATCTTCATATTCTTAAATTGAAATTTATAATAGTGCCTCTCCCTTTTTGGATGGCCAGCGTCTCCTCCCCTTTGCGCTCCTCATCTCCTCCCCTTTGCGCTCCTCGCTCCTCTGGGCCCTTTGACTGAGGTGGGCCTGCCGTTTGCTGTCAACTTGATTTTATGTCTCATTCCCCCCATGTCCCCCCCATAGATCTTGATTGGGATCATTAGTGACTTGATAATCCCTCTAGATTTATTAGCTTAAATAGCTCCACTCCCATCTCCTGTCCACATTTAAATATTGCTTAATTTCCATGAATCTCTCTTCCATCTGTCCACGTTACTATCCAGCTACTTTTTCTTTCCTAATTAACCCTGTCAAGACTGCATGGAGGTGAGAATTAGATTATTTTGATAAATTAATCAATACACAAGAGGAAGAAGTTTAAGGCCTCTATTTTAGAACTGTCCTTGCAATAACATTAGATTTCTAACCAAGGGTCTACAGTTTGGCCCAATAAAGTTAATCCTGGACATTATTAATGCGATTCAAAAACAAATAAACACACATTAAGTTTGTATCAAGTTGTGCATTGCTGTTGGTGATAGAGAAGCACAGCTTCTAATCTGAGCCATGTCCTGGAAGAGAACAGCCTTGGAGTCACTGTGACAGTGTTCTTCTGCCTTGTACCACCAGCAACTCAACAAATTAGAAGTACTTTGCTTCCAGCCAAGAATGACAATTTGATTAGCACAAACCTAAGTTCCAGCCATGTTCAGAATAGAGTAGAGTAGAGTAGAACAGAACAGAACAGAATAGAATAATAAGAGTTAGACAGGATCTTGGAGGTCTACTGGTCCCACCTTCTGCTCGTCCAGGTCACAAAATGAGGCAAAACCCACTCAATGACTATCTCACTTAGCCACCTAAATTTGAGACTCCATTGTGCTTGTTACGTCAAGGATTACGGGTAGCGGCGTTTTTCAACCTTGGCAACTTTTAAGTTGTGTGGATTTCAATTCCCAGAATTTGCCAGCCGGGGGAATTCTGGGAGTTGAAGTCCACACATCTTAAAGTCACCAAGGTTGACAAACATTAGCCTAGAGTAGTACCCTACTCCCTCATGTATTCACTTTAGTCAGGCCTGAAAGACAGGAAGCAATTGTGAGAAAGCTGACGAGGAACAGAGAGCCTCAAATGTTAGAAGTCCACCTAAACCAGAGGGGGGGAGGAGGGGTAAAAGCAGATCTTTTGGTGATAGACCCTCTTCAATTTCTCCTCCTACCCTAAGACCCTCCCAAGAAGGCCTTCTCCTTCTTGCTGATCAATGGTGTGCTTCAAAAACTTCTCCTACCAGTTTGGAGCTTGCTTTGGGGCACATGCGCAGCACTCAAACTCCGTCCTCTGAATCAAGGCCGGTGAGCTGTGGAGGCGCACCTATTGCACGCACACACCAAACACGCAGATCGCGCGTGCTCGAAAGGCTCAGAGGCAGCCCTTCCCTGGTGATCTGTGCTGGTTTTTTTTAGCTCAGCTCAGGCGCAGCAATGTGATCTGCCACACGAATCATCTGAGCTAATAAACAGCAGAATATAGGAGAGGTGAGAGGTAAGAGCAGGGGTGGGTGGGTGGGGCCAGTCAAAATTTTCATGACCGGTTCTCCAAACCAGTCAAAATTTTCACCACTGGTCCGCCAGGACACCGGTCAGAACTGTCTGAATACCACCTCTGTTGCTGATCCATTCCTGCCTCCTAAATTCAAATTATTGCAACGTCCTCCTTGTCTCTTCCACCCAAATAATGAGCATACTCCGTTTGCCTCTTTGCAAGCACGATCACACTCTCGATCAAACACAGACACACAGACAGACAGACACACACACAACATAAATATTCATTGAAATTATAGAAACTGATCGTCACCAAGGTTAGAAGGCAATTCTTATTAATCACCTCATCGGTCCGCTTGCATCCAAAGCAACGGAGAATTCATTATCTCTAAACCCGCATTAGCAAAAAAAAAAAAGTGCCACAACTCATTTGGAGGATTTCAGGAGGTGGTTGTTCTCCGCTTTCTCCTGCCCTTCCAACTCCCTTGGTTCCTCTACCTGGAATACAGGTAGCCCTCGACGTGCAACAGTTCATTTAGCAAGCATTTGAAGCTCCGACGGCCCTGGGAAAAAAGCAACTTAGGACTATTTTTCAGACTCAAGACCATTACAGCCTCCCCATGGTCATGCTATCAACTCCTAAAATATTTCTATGGTCTTTTTAGAGTTGCCAACAGAAAGGGAGCGGGGAGCAGTGCGGCAGCTTGCAAACCGAAAGTGCATTCCATAAATGTTTTCAAAAATAGTCACTAGGTGACTGAAGTTTCTGCTGAGCAAAGATCTAACTGGAGAACATGATTGATGACTCTTGGCTATGGATGGGTGTGTCCCATTGGAGAATATGAATTACGATAGACCCAAGAGGTGGGGGGGAAAACCAGGGTCAAGGGTGACAATGAATTATATGAAGTGAGGGCAGCCAAAAGCCAACTCATAAAATATTTCTCTGGTCTTTTTAGAGTTGCCAACAGAAAGGGAGAGGGAAGCAGTGTGGCAGCTTGCAAACTGAAAGTGCATGCCATAAATGTTTTCAAAGATAATAACTAGGTGAGTGAAGTTTCTGCTGCTCAAAGATCTAACTGGAGAACATGATTGATGACTCTGGGCTATGGATGTGTCCCATTGGAGACTATGAATTAAGATACACCCAGGGGGTGGAGAGAAAACCTGGGTCAAGGGTAACAGTGAATGATGTGTCTCAGAGTCGGTTACACCCAGGCAGTGCCGGACATGTTAACTCCCAATAAATTCTTTTGAAGTTTTGGAAGTTTGGCTCGAGACACATGATTTAAATGGGGGTAACTACCGGAATCCTGACACATGCGATTTACATTTGGATGCTCAACAACGGACTCATATTGATGACGATTGCAGCATCCCGGGGGGGGGGGTCACATGATCCCCTTTTCCGACCTTCTGACAAGCCAAATCTATGCGGAAGCCAGATTTACTGAACAACCAAGTTATTAATTTAACAACAGAAGGGATTCAAAGTCGTAAAATGGGGAAAAACACACTTTTTCTGTGCCGTCGTCACTTCAGTCACTAACTGACTTGTTGTAAGTCAAAGACTTACGGCTTTTTTATTTTACGGCTGCTCCATATTTAAGAGGGGTGGGTGGGGTGTAAATCCAAACTCTGCAGGCCATCTTCTATTTATAGTCTAGAATAACAGAGTTGGAAGGTACCTTGGAGGTCTTCTAGTCCAACCCCCTGCCTAGGCAGGAAACCCTACACCACTTCAGACAAAGGGTTATCCAACAGCTTCTTAAAAACTTCCAATGTTGGAGCAGTCACAACTTCTGGAGGCAAGTTTAATTGTTCTCATTTTCAGGAAATTTATCCTTAGTTCTAAGTTGCTTCTCTCCTTGATGAGTTTCCATCCATTGCTTCTTTTTCCTGCCTTCTGGTGCTTTGGAGAGTAGCTTGACTCCCTCTTCTTTGGGGCAGCCCCTGAGATATTGGAAGACTGCTATCATATCACCCCTAGTCCTTCTCTTCATCAGACTAGACATACCCAATTCCAGCAACTGTCCTTTATATGTTTTCGCCTCCCGTCCCCTAATCCTCTTGGTTGCTCTTCTCTTCTGGAAGAGCCAAACTCCACATCCTCTCAACTGGAACAGACCCATTTTCATCCATCAGGCGCTTTAGAGGGGGAACAGGAAAGGAAACACTTACCAGATTAGTGAAGATGTATGTATAATAGGCTGACACCATTCCCAGTTCAGCTGCCTGTAACGCAGAGGATATGAGAAATCAAAGCATGGTTAAATCACAGCCTGACAAGATCCTTCCTGCTCTGGTCTGCGATGCCTCCTAATTTGAAGCTAACTCAGGTACCCCTGAAAGAGTTGGGAAGCCCAGACCGCAAAGCAGGAATTCTGCCCTTGAATTCCACTATTTTCAACAAGGTTTACCCCTCAGGAAAAAAAACAAAAACAGTCCCCAGGATACTAGGATAATGGCTTAATGACCAACTCTACCGTTGGCTCCTCTTTCTGATGTTGGCCCTTCCACGTTGGGTGAATTTCTTCAAACAATATTGCAACCAAGAACATCTATACTGGCTTGGAGGAGGTTTGAAGGGGACTGGGAAGAGAGCTGTCAGTATTTAATTAGTATTCTCTCTCTCTCTCTCTTTTCTCTCTCTCTCTCCCCTCTCTTCTCTCTTTCTCTTTCTGTCTCTCTCTTTGTCTGTCTCTTTCTTTCTCTCCCTTTCTCTCTCTCA